AGGAGGACAGGAGGGGGAGGTTGAAGGCTCGGGGTTTCTCTGCTGCTGGATGTGGTTCTGGCTGAAACCCGTCCAGGTCTGAGTATTTAGACGGTCAGGAGAAGACGGAGCTGGCGGAGAACCCAAACCTTGGTTCTGTGAGGAGCAGCATCATCCATCACACGGTGGATCAATGGTTTCTCCATGTGACCCCCCCACTTCATGACCACGGTCAAACTCCCAGCAGCTGCTCAGAAAACGGAGCATGAAATCAGCCTCCACCTTCCAGGTCCACATCCTCACTCTCACCCAGCACCCCCCCCCCCCCCCCCCGGTCAGGCCTCGTCTCTGCGCCGTGTTTTGACATCGCTCTGTTCGGCTGTTTGCCCCCGCAGCTACAAACACTGTGGACGTCCAACTCTGCAGCTGAACTCTCTCAGGTCCAGGACTGAGACTTGGTGATTAGTCTGGTCCTGGGGGGGTGGGGGGGTCCCATGAAGGATGTGTGGGGTCAGAGCTCCATCTAGTGGTACCAGAACCAGGTCTTGAGCCCTCGGCTGTTTCTGTGGTCTAATGCAGCCTCCTGTTTGTCCCGCAGCACATCGGACCACTTGGTTCTGTTGGACCGACCCGTCAGCGCCTACGTGTTCCGGCCCGATGAGCACTTCCTGTGCAGCTACGCCACGGCTCCACGGTAAACCTGGACCTCCACCCGGGTCCACTGAGGACCGTGGAGAAGTTCAGATCTCTGGCTTCTTTTTCACAAAGTCGAGTTTTAAATAAAGATAAAAAAAATACAAATAAAACTGCAGTAAACAAAAACAAGTCGTTTAATCAACAGAATTATTGTTTGTTTCAAATCACACAAACGCTCAACATAAATATGTCGATCGCTAGAATTTAACTTTGTTTAAACGACACGAGGTCAGCGTGATCAGAATCGACCCCCCCCCCCCCCCGAAACGTTTCCTGTTTTTATGTTTACAGCAGCTGTTTGTTTGTTTTACACTTTGTAAACATCTGCCATCAGAGGCACGCAGGACTTCATAAAGAAGTTCACCAGTGACTGTTGGAGGTGAGGGTTCTGGCCGCCATCTTGGTAGGTGCTACGTGTATCACTCTGCAAACAAACATTAGACGTATTTGACCTAAACAAAACTTCATGTGAAAATAAATCAGCGTCATCATCGACCTGCATCCACTGTGACCAGCTGACCAAGAGATTTGAACCAGAGTAACTTTAAGTAATTAATTACTTCGTCTAACCAGAGCTCTGCTCGTGTCCAGAGTTGATCCTACTGCCTTTTTCCTCACAATTGTGTAAATATTTAGCCTTATGTAACATGCACTTCATTTTAAATCTAATCTTTACACTAATTCATTATTTTGGCCATATTTTACTCATTAAATAAGTTAAACAGCGTTATAGACCCAATGGCTAACATTTAAGACAATATGTTAAATAGAAATTATTTAGTCTACAGAGTGTGACGACCTCTGGCATATTAATACTGTGGAGTATTTCAAAAAGAAACATTTATAAATGTACAGCCACGCTCTTTGAAGTTCACGTTCGAATAATTATAACAATTGATGGTGAATAATTTGGCTCCTTGGCTGAGTTTTTTTTATTTTTATGCGTTTCTTTATGGTCTGCTGCCCAGCAGGCAGGAACTAAAGACTCCACGTAGCACCTAGCAAGATGGCGGCACTGATCTCGACAGCTCTTTGGCTGGAGACAAAGGAGAATTTATCACAGATGGAGATGTTAAGATATTTTATGACCAATTTCCACATCATCTGTAGGAGGCACCGCCCTGTGGTGTGTTCATGGACTGTAGGAAAAATGCACTTTTGAGTTTTAGATGGATTGGTTTATCCAACAAACATAGATTAATCTGACAACGTTCCATTTTAGCTCCTCCTTTACTTTTCACACATTTTATTACGAAGATGTCACTTTAGTTTTGTTCTTCCTGGAAGTAATTTGCGAAAAGAACAAGTTGTATATTTTAAATCTGTGATTTTAAATAATCTGTGTTTGGTCTTTAATCTGTCAGGTTGGTTTTGTTCCTCAAAGCTGAGCGTCAGTGATGGTTGAAAAGTTGTAAGTTTAAATAAATGATCAAACCTTCAGGTTTCATTTAATGTTTTTTTTTTAATGCAGAAACTTTAGTTGGTTCAGTTTCCTTAACGTCATCCATCCATGACGAGTCTGATGCTCCCTGCTGACCGTCCTGTGACAGACACTGCAGGTAACTGACACCTGGGGGGGCGGGTACCTGCTCTGGACCCGTTTCTACGGTAACACCTTCAACATGCTGAAGCCGAGCTGCAGCAGCGAAGTTATGAACTGCTAACATCTTACCTGCTGTAGATGGCTCCTTGAACAACCTCAGTCTGGGGGAACTTTTAATTACGACAGGAGTGACGAGCGAACGATGAATCTGTTTAATTTCACAATTATTCATGCAGGAAGTTCCCCGGCTGCACAGGAAGTGCTGCTTTGAGCCCTTCCAGACGAACCATTAAATGTTACGTAAAATAATCCAGTTTGAGGGAAGCGTTCACGTGAAATGTTTGGACTGTAGCCGTTTTCATTTCTTGTCCTCTTATGGGGCCGCTGCTTTTAAATATTTTATATTTAATATTTTTGAATCGCTGATTGTTCAGAAACCGTTTTAAATGTCTTATGATGTCTGGTTGATCCAAATAGTCAGTGGAATTAAAACCGTCAGCACTCAAGAGGTTAGAGGGGTTTGAATTCACAATATTCCTAAAAGCTGACCCAGAATTTTTCCGTCAGTTTGTATTTTCTGCAGATTCACTTTGGTCCCGGCTCTGGTTGGATCAGCTCATCAGAACTCGTGTTTCTGCAGAGTGATGTTAACTGTTTATAACCCTTCTTCAAAATATCTAAACTGCTTTTTGAAGATGGCACCAGTATGGCAGTCGGTTTTACCATATAATCACGTCACACTACAGTATTTACAAAGATACACAATTCAAAAGTACTACTGTACTAGTAAGAGTGTTGTGAATTACTGAAATCTAAAATAACAGGTGTAATCAGAATATATAGTACAACTGCCTGCCATACCTGTTCTATCTCGAGCATACAACATGTGATTGTTTGCTCGTTTTAATTTGTTGTCTTGGTTTAGTAAACCACTTGTCACGTCCACCGAGGCTCCAGCAGCTGATCTGCTACGGGTTTTTTTTTTTTTTTTTTGCTTACGTTGTTTTTAAGAATTAAAATCATAAATCGTTTCTAAATCCCAGATTTGTCCCAGACACGAATCGAGGTCTCAGCTTCGGTTCATTTTCTTTCACGTCAGGAAAACTGATCCGTTTTAGTTTCTATTTTTGTTTTTTGTGTTAAGATGAAGGTTATCAAAAATAAAAACAAGCACGCCAGAATTTGAAGGATATTTTACTAAAACAACTCCCAAAATAAAACTTGTGTCTAAAATCACGTTGTAAAAACTGTAAAAGTTACTGGTTTGGATTAAAGCAGCTCAAAGATCGTTTTAAATAAGTTACTGTAACTTCATGCACGTTCACTTCAGAAGGTTCTCCGAAGCGTTTCTGCGGTTCTGGTGGTCAAAGCAGCAGAACCTCCTCCTCTCATTCTTCTTGTGGGTAACGATGCACCGGCTGCTCCACCTCAATCACCTCCACCACCAGGTCCCGGATCGCCTTGACGCAGTCTGGAGGCGGGATCTTAGGGCGGGGAGGCGTGGCCTCTTTTTCAGGTTCAGAGGTCGGAGACGCTGAAGGCTCGGCCGCCGAAGCCAAAGTCTCTGTTTTCCCATCGGCGCAGGGTCCGGCGCTGCTCGCAGCCTCCGTCTGGACCACGGTCGGCTCTCCTACAGTTTTATCCTCGCCGGTCTCCTCTGAGCTCTCGGGGGGGTGAGCGACCTCCAAGACATCGGAGGTGGTGGAGACAGACTCCAGATCCGACAGGGGGGAGTCACTGTCCACAGAGACGTCCAGAGAATTGGGGTCCGAAGCCGTGATGGATCCTCCTTCCTCCCTCAGCTGGATGCAGACAGCTGTGACCTCCTCCCCACCAGGAGGTGCTTCAAACCGGACCTCTGAGCTCTGCGGTGTTTCCTCGTGCTGGGGGTCCTCTCCTGCAGACTTTACAGGTTCCTCTGTTGGTCTTATACTCGCTCCATCGGGGGGTGGAGTGTGTGGCGAAGTGGTTTCTGCTTCTTGTCGATGGTTTGTAGGAGTTTCTGCAGGAACCACTTCCTGTGGGGGGGTCACGGTCCCGGCAGCTGCTGGGTCTGGCGTCTCAGCTCTTTGGGTTTCTGTCTCTGCGGGATGTTTGGACTCCGGTTCTCCACTGATGCCCGCCTCTTCCTTCACCGTTTCTGCAGCTTTGGTCTCTGGCTCCTCTGCCTCCGGACAAGCCTTGGCCCCCTCCTCCTTCTGTTTGGCCCTCCCCAGCAGCGTCTCCACCACAGACGTGTCTGACGAGGCTTTGCTCTGCGCCTCCTCCTGCTCCTGCGCCCTCCGGAGGCCGGGCGGCAGACCGTTGACCGCCAGAGGAGACGGGGGCAGGGCCTCGTAGGTGCTTTTGACGGGGGAGGCCAGCATGGGGGCGGGGCTGCTGGGCGGGGAGGAGAGGCTGGAGCGGCTGCTGTCGGTGAACAGGTTGTGTTTGTGGAGGCTGGCTGCTTCCTTCACCACTGCAGGACAAACAGGAAGTGTTCAAACAGGAAGTGTTCAAACAGGAAGTAAGTGTTCAGTTCAGCCTGCGAGAGGAGAACCTCTGACGTCACCGTTAGAACGTGTTCTGGTACCTTTAGAAACCTCCTGGTCCAGGATCTCCAGGAGGATGTTCTCATAAACGTTCTCAACGTGGATGAAGTTGGAGTGGTCGGAGTAAATCATCTGCTCGAGACCCTGAAGCTCCTGAGAACAAAAACAACCGTGTGAGCAGGAGGATTAAAGGCTGTGAGACGTTGAACGAGCGTCGCTCCTGATTTGATTTCACAATAAAAGTTTAAAGTTTGAGAGTTTAAACAGGTCTGGTGTTTCAGGAACGTTGTTCAGACTGGTTCAACTGGTTTAGCTCTCCGATCACAACCGGAGTCCATCCTGTTGGATCTCCGACTGATCAATAACTGAACAGTGGTGCAGGAACGATGCTGACCGCTGTGCGGGTCGCAGCCAGGTTCTTCTTGATGAAGGGCAGCGTGACGGAGACCAGGGCGTCCTGGAAGATCCTCTTCCTCACCGTGCTGCTGTCGTAGTCGTATTGCTGCAGGAAGACGAGGTCAAAGGTCAGCCTCTGGACATCAACATGCTTCATGAATCTACGTTTTCAAACTGCTGACTGGGCTGAAAGGTGCGTGTGGCCTTCAGGGTCAGCACCGAACGGTAGGAAATCTCTGTTTTGGTGAAGGAACATGTGAAACAGCAACTGTTAAAGAAAAATCAACCAGTGATTTTTAATTCCTTCGTCTTATTTAAATTTGTTTAACTCTTTAACGTGTTCAGCTGCAGCTCTTAGCGCCATATTGGTGTTTTTTTAGCATTTATTAATGTGAAATAATAAAATGACCGACAGTTGAAGCTCTGTTGTGAAAGTTAAAACGAGCAGAACAGCAAAAAAGTCGTTGACTCTCAAAGAGTGGAAAGTTTCTAAAGAAATCTTTGTTTTTATAATTTTTAAGTTAAATAATTTAATAACGTATAAAAACTATAAATACCAAAAGTCATACCTGGCATCTCCTGAATGAGCCAAACGTTTAGTTATCCGAACCGTTAAAACAGCTAAATGTAAACCGAAGTAGTTGGACACCAAATAAACCTGAAAACCATCAAGGTGTCCACACTAGTTCTAGAAATAATGAGGTCGAAATTGATCGTTTTTACCTTCAGCACTCGATGTTTGGTCTTCTCTGTGGCGGCGGCGGCGTTTTCAGGGTTTTCCTCCACGGCTTTAAAGAGCAGCAGCTCGAACGTGTGCGCTGCGTTCTCGATCAGCTGAAGACACAAGCAGGAGACGGATCAGACCGAACACTTGGGTTTGTCACGTTCAGGGTTTTAAAAACCTTCCAGATGGAGAACTTTCCCTCAAACCTTCTGCTGTGATTTGTGGACGGTTCCTTAAATTGATCCTTGTGAGATCAGCTTCGGTGCGTTTGTATTCTTTGGAGTAAACGAGCTGAATAAAGGTCTTACCTGCTGCAGGTCGAGCTGAGCGCTGTGCATCACTCCGCTCATGTTGGAGAAGCTGAACCTCTCCTGCAGAAGCTTCAGCTTCTCCTGCAGGGAGCCGATCTTCTGGTAGCAGCTCAGCAGGTTCGGTCTCGCCATCTCAGCCAGAACCTGAGACGGAAGAGCAGAACCAATTCAATTAACCCAACATCAAGAATATCTGGTATTACAATATATTTATTACAATATGTTTATTACAATATATTTATTACAATATATTTATTACAATATATTTATTACAATATATTTATTACAATATATTTATTATAATACATTTATTACAATATATTTATTATAATATATTGGTAATAATAATATCTGGTGATATCTCCAGAGAGGAGTTCTGCATGAACTGACCTCCTTCAGCCGCTCGTTGGTGGCGCCCTGCAGAACCTCCTGACACGCCTGGTTCATCTTCGTTTCGCTCAGCTGCCGACCCTCCAGGAAACCGGAGCTGATGGGTTCCATCATCTCCTCCAGAACCGAGCCCAGGTACGGCTGAACGGACTCGGAGCAGAGCTTCTCTGCAGGCTCTGAAACTTTGGCTGCAAAAAACAAAACGACTCATCAGAACCGAACCTGCGGCTTCACTTCGGACTCAGGCGGCTTCGTGCTGCCCGTCACCGGTACCTCGGATCTTCTCCTCCAGCTGCCGCCTGGTGTTCAGGATCTGGTCCATGTCAGTGTGCATCAGAACCTCCTGCTGCCGGACCAATGTCCTGCAGTCCTTCTTCAGCACAGACAGTCCTTCCAAAAGTTGCTCCTGGACCTGAATGTACGCGTCCTCCACCGTCTGAGAACAGGTAGAACCCGGTCAGTTCAACACGTCTTTGAACAGAACCAGAACCGGGTGAAGTCCAGGAAACAGCCTGGAGTTTGACTTCTCGTTTACGTGTTTTTAAATCTTTTTTTTAACTGACATTGTCCTCGAGATTCCAACAGAAATTAAGAAATACCAGAACCTGCCACCAGGTGGCGAGAACGTCCAACTACAGAGAAGAAACTGCTCCAATACTCCCAAAATAAATAAACGATTTCATTTAACAGAGTTATGAAGAGTCTCAGTTATTAAATGTGCTGAAACGATGACAGGATTGAGATAAAGAGACAGAAAAGAACAAGTAAAAACATTAGTTCTGGTTCCTGGGTGATTTTACATAAACTAGTCAGAGAAACTAAATAAGTCATTTCTCTAAAGTTCAGAATCACTCGGCATCAAAAACATCTTAATAAAAATCTCCACTTTGGAAATTGTTCTTTAAAAAGTCTATTTTGTGCAAATGTGGCAGAAAATCTTTCTTTTCTTTTCTACCTATTCATCATAGTGTGGGTGGAGCATCACAGTAGGGGTGGAGCATCGCAGTGTGGATGGAGCATCACAGTAGGGGTGGAGCATCGCAGTGTAGGTGGAGCATCACAGTAGGGGTGGAGCATCACAGTGTGGGTGGAGCATAGCAGTGTGGGTGGAACATCACAGTGTGGGGTGGAGCATCGCAGTGGGGTGGAGCATCGCAGTGTGGGTGGAACAATGCAGTGGGGTGGAGCATCGCAGTGTGGGTGGAACATTGCAGTGTGTGTGGAACATCGCAGTGTGGGTGGAACATTGCAGTGTGGGTGGCGTATTGTAGTGTGGGTGGAGCATCACAGTGTGGGTGGCGCATTTTAGTGTGGGTGGAGCATCACAGTGTGGGTAGAGCATCACAGTGTGGGTGGAGCATTGTAATGTGGGTGGCGCATTGTATTGTGGGTGGAGCATCAAAGTGTGGGTGGAGCATCACAGTGTTGGTGGTGCATTGTGTTGTGGGTGGAGCATCAAAGTGGGTGGAGCATCACAGTGTGTGTGGTGCATTGTATTGTGTGTGGAGCATCACAGTGTGGGTGGTGCATTGTATTGTGGGTGGAGCATCGTATTGTGTGTGGAGCATCACAGTGTGGGTGGAGCATAAAACTTGTTTCAGTGTGTTTTCTTTGAGGCGACTTACGGTGAACCAGATCCTCTTCCTCTCCGACTTCTTGGCTTTGAGTCGAGGCAGCAGGTCTTTCTCCAGAGACGGCAGCAGCTTCTCCATCACCAGGTTGGCCATCACCTGAACACACAGAGACGTCAGTCCTTCACTCTGTCACTCATTCACTCATTAACCATCTTTAGACCTCTGAACATCTCAGGATTATTTAGTCTCGTTAACGCCTGAAACATTGTAAAGGATAAATGGACTGTGCAGCTCCTTTCTATTTTAAGACACTCAAAGCTCTTTACAACAATCTGTGCCTCATTTACTCATTCATACAGGACTCTACTAGATCTATATAATAATAATCAGATCTTTATCACATTCAGACACACATCAGAGGCAATGAGAGGTTCAGTGTCTTGCCCGGGGACACTTCAACATGTGACTGCTGGTAGAGTCAAACCCCCAACTCTCTCATTGGAGGACGACTGCTCTAACCACTCTGGAGCTTTATTTTATTTATTCCAGTTATTTTAATTTCAGTGTGCTCCTTCAGATGTAACAGGATTTAAAGGGATATCCCACCCATTCTGAAGTGAATTTTTCTTTATTTCTCCAAACGAATGTCATTTAAAAAGATATCTGCAACAGGTAAGATACTGACTGCCAAGAGCACGTCCTTCAGAAGGTATAAAATGTCTCCTTCAGTGCCGTAAAGCTTTGTTTCTGGATTTATTCTGCGCCTGCTTCCTCCCTGAGGCAGAAACAAGAACGAGTTTGAGACGCAAACGAGGAAAACTGGAGCAGAAGATCAGAAAGTTGACTTTAACAAAAGGAGAGCAGTTACTGGGACGTTTAGACGTTTAATTAAAGGGTGTTGCCACAGATCACGTTGAGACTGTTGCAGTTATAAAAACATTTGGGCTGACCGGTCATTCTGACCCAACTTTAAAAGGGCTGAGTTTATTAAAAAATATGTTTTAATGTATCAAACACCTAAAAACCAAACGACTAAAACTTTGATCAAACAGTTAAATTAGGAAACTAATTTTCAGTTTGGTTAGAAGAGAAAAACTGTTTTTTAATCTGACCTGAAAACTCTTCTTTTGTCGTGTCACTTTTTAAAACAAAATCTTAAAACAAATAATCATCGGTTGTTAGATTTTTTTTCTTCCCACCAAATCTTCATATTTAAGGTGCTGCAGCAGCGACATGTTTGTTTCTTAAATAAAAGACTTTTGACGACATCCACGTGCGCAGCCCAGCCACACGACTGGTGCGTCATCCAGGTGTGGCTGTAAAACTGTCCCTGCAGCCAAAATCCCCGTCATTCCTGTCATTGCTCAGCCGTGACGTGTGCGAGACGTGAACTCCCTCGTGTCTCGCTGCTCCAGCAGGAAGTGAACGGTGAGCAGCAGCATTACAGAGCGATGACCTCAGCTTCCTGCACAACAAACTTCCTTCAGCTCCCACAACAATGAGGCGTTTAAAGACTCAGTCTGTGAGCAGATACACATTCAGTAGATAAAAAAACAAACACAGCACTTTAGTTTCTGCCGCCGTGTTTCTTGAGCTGGACTCAAACATCCGACACTTTTTCTTCGTTCACTAAAAGACCTTTACTCAAATATTGTTCACAGATTTGTGTCAATCTGTTGGTGAGCACTTCTCCTTCGTCGATCATCCGTCCACCTCACAGCTGTGGCAGATCAGGAAGCTGATCACACAGCATGATTATTAGGCTGCCCACAATAAAAGGCCACTCTGAACTGATCAGTTTGAGCGCAGCAGATGTTGCAGGTTTTGTTGGCTGTTGACTGCAGGAAGGTCCACCAGAGTCGTAGCTCGTGAACTGAACGTTCATTCTCTGCCATAAGACGTCCCTGAAGTTTCAGAGAATTTAACAGAACATCCAACCGGCCGTGTAACCACGCCAGCCCAGGACCTCCACGTCCAGCATCTTCACCTCCAACATGGTCTAAGACCAGCCACCTGGACAGATGCTGCAACAACTGGTTTGCATTAAAAAAAACTTCCACTCGTTGGAGAGGAGTTCTCTTCACGGATGGATCCTGGTTTTTACTGCACTGGGCAGACAGCATGGATGACGTCGTGTGGGTGAGCAGTTCGCTGAGGTCAGCGTGACTCGAGTGGCTCGTGGTGGAGGTGGGGTTATGGTCTGGGCAGGCGTACGACCACGAACACAGGTGCCTTTTACTGATCTACCGTGGTAACGTGACAAGATCCTGAGGCCCGTTGTGTCGTTCATCCACCACCATCCAGCTTGTTGCAACGATCTGTGCACAAGTCCTGGAAGCTGAAAACATCCCAGTTCTTGTGTGACACTCACCGGACATGTCCCCCATTGAGCAGGTTTGGGATGATCTGGATCGGCGTACACGACAGCGTGTTCCAGTTCCTGACCATGTCTGGCAACTTCACAGTGATTGAAGAGGAGTGGGTCAATGTTCCACCATCAACAACCTCATCACCTCGATGAAGGAGACGCGCTGCACCGCGTGAGGCAAATGGTGGTCACGCCAGATACTCACTGGTTTTCTGTATTAAGTATATCTACAGGTCCTTCTCAAAAAATTAGCATATTGTGATAAAGGTCATTATTTTCCATAATGTAATGATAAAAATGAAACTTTCATATATTTCAGATTCATTGCACACCAACTGAAATATTTCAGGTCTTTAATTGTTTTAATTCTGATGATTATGGCATACAGCTCATGAAAACCCAAAATGCCTGTCCCAAAAAATTAGCATATCATGAAAAGGTTCTCTAGCCCAAGTTGTTATCAACGCTCCGTTCAGAAGCCTGCATCACTGATGGTATGGGGTTGCATGAGCGCTTGTGGCATGGGCAGCTTGCATGTCTGGAAAGGCACCATTAATGCAGAGAACTATGTTCAGGTTCTAGAACAACATATGCTCCCATCTAGACGTCATCTCTTTCAGGGAAGACCCTGCATTTTTCAACACGATAATGCCAGACCACATTCTGCAGCAATCACAACATCATGGCTACGTAGGAGAAGGATCCGGGTACTGAAATGGCCAGCCTGCAGTCCAGATCTTTCACCTATAGAGAACATTTGGTGCATCATAAAGAGGAAGGTGCGACAAAGAAGGCCCAAGACGATTGAACAGTTAGAGGCCTGTATTAGACATGAATGGGAGAGCATTCCTATTTCTAAACTGGAGAAACTGGTCTCCTCTGTCCCCAGACGTCTGTTGAGTGTTGTAAGAAGAAGGGGGGATGCCACACAGTGGGAAAAATGGACTTGTCCCAACTTTTTTGGGATTTGTTGACGCCATGAAATTTGGAAACAACAGATTTTTCCCTTAAAATGATACATTCTCTCAGTTTAAACTTTTGATCTGTGATTTGTGTTCTATTCTGAATAAAATATTAGATGTTGGCACCTCCACGTCATTGCATTCAGTTTTTATTCACAATTTGTTTAGTGTCCCAACTTTTTTGGAATCCGGTTTGTATATGTGTGTGTATATATATATATATATATATATATATATATGTATATATGTTCAAAAGTATTAATAAACTTTGATCTTTACATAAAAAGTCTTCAGACACATTTTGAGATGAACTTTTAAGTGATGTTTTAAAGAAGCAGCCACTGATTAAATCGTTACAAGACGAACAGTAAATAAAATCTTAGTTTTATTTGAGATGAACGAATCGTTCCAAACAACAACCGTTGTTCACGTTGCTGCAGGTAAACCTTCTGACTGGTTCCCAACAGATAAGAAGTTTGCATCAAAGTTTCGTTTGGACGTTCTGTGGCACAAACAGAACCTCCTCTCGGGTCAGAACACGACTGATCGGGTCCTGAAGCCTGAAGGGAACAAACCACCGGAGGCTCCACGAGTCATCGTTTATTCAGCATCAATAAACTATAACGAGCGCTGAGGTTTATGATGCTCTGAACATCATAAACCCTCATGGGGGAGGAAGAAGCTGCGGCGCACGTCAAATGTAATCTTCATGATGAAGGTTTTATAAAACACCATCATCTGGAACTTTGGGTTTTAACGTCCTCACAGCTTTACGTCGCCCCTTGATTCTCTGTGAGCAGACTGATCCTCAGCAGGACAGACACCTGCTGGAGGAACATCCACACATCTGGAGGAGCTGCATCACTTACAAACAAACAAACAAACAACACGTGGGACGAGGACGCACCCTGACGTCGCTCCCGATCAGCATGTCCCACACCTCGTACTTGCCCTGGTCCTGCCGGTAGAGCTGGATGGCTTTGAGGAAGGCCTGGACCTCACACGTCTTCTTCTTCAGGAAGTCTGAGGAAGAGGAGGAGGCTCCATTACTAATCACCCTCCAGCCTGTGGGTTCAGCAGCAGCAGCGTGAAACTGCGTCGACCCGATTCCAGAGGCTCTGCTCTCAGAGATGCTGAGGCCAGCCTGTTGCCATGGAAACCACGGAAGATCAGAGGTTTATGTCTTTTATTTATTTCGACAAAAGCAGTTTGAGTCGTGCGTTGGAACGTAAAAACAAACGAACGTTCGTTAATCCTGCTGAGTTTTCTGGAGCCAGTCGAACGTTTCCTGAAAAGCTCAGACTGTGTTGAGATCAAACTGAATATTTGACGACTCTTATAAAAAACATGTTTTCAATGAAAATATCAATAAAAACCTGATTTATGACAAAACTAATCAAAGTTTGTGGTTTCCCTTCCACTGAGTGTGAGATATTCGTTACGTTTAAGTTTTTACTCTGTTGCTCATGGGTCTCACCCGACGGGCTCGTCCATGCCTACCGTGGTTCTGGTGCCGGATGCAGTCCGACAGGAAGGAGATGAAGGTGGCCTGCTTGACCTGCTGCCTGAAGCAGAAGTACGAGTCCCTCCGGTAGGGCAGGCGCAGGTAAACTGGGAATTGACCCGGCATCCCTGAAAAGGGCGGAGCGAAGTCCTCCTTCACATCTGGAACACGAGAAGGAGCACGTCAGATCAACGAACATCTGGCAGGAGATTTACAAACAATCTGCAACTTTCTAAGAAACAGCTCCTGAAAACTGCTTAGTTTTACTCAGAGACGCGTCACAACTCAAGACGACCAAACCTCACGGCCTTCAACGCCTTCAGAGAAGGCCTAAGACTTAAGCACATATGAAATGTTACTTTTAATTGATTTAATATTTATATAAAGTATGTATTGATGTATTTTTACTTAATAGCTGTAGTTTGCAGTTGAACAGAAAATGTTTTAACTCATAAAAATCCAGTTATCCAATCAGAATCTTTTAAATTTGTGTCTCCGGGCAGAAACGTGTCTGAAGCTTTTTTCTCATTGGTCAGGACTTCACTGTCGGCAGAGAAGGCGGAGCTCAGTCTCTGCAGGAGGAGCTCGTTGAATGAAAAATGACTCCATGAGTCCGAGGAGTTTCTTGATGGATGAAAAGGAGGAAAGCACTTCCTGTTCAGCGAGTTTCTGGATTGTGAAGTAAAAAGTGACGTGATGTCATCGACTCCGTAGTGTCTTTGTTGTGTTTATCAGGTTGTCACGACACTGAAGACAAACGTTTAGTGCGAGTTGTTTAAAGGCTGTTGAAAACAAAACCAACATATTGATGTAAAAACGCAGCCTGGCTGAACGTCTCTTCAGTCTGATGGTTGTTTTTCTTCAGTCTGGACGAGACTGAAACTTTCAAAGTTCTTGAACAGATGCTGGTTTTTCCTGGCAGCCTCGCTCCCACACGCAACAAAAAGCTACAAGAAGGTTTTCCTGTTGAATCCGTCGACCTGGAGGGAAGTTTGCTGCTTTCTGTGCACGGCTTCAGAAACGACGTGCTCTGGATCAACGACCGGGCGTTGGTTTCTGTCACAGTTTCTTCTGGAGTTGAGGCCAAAAAGAGCCTTTTAGTTTGACCTCTGACAGAAAGTTTGATCAGATCACTGATTCCATGAGAAAGAGGAGTGTGAAGAAGATGAGTCAGCAGCTGCCTTCATCCAAGCAGGTTTGAACAGGCTCTGAGCCAAACCGTCTCCATCCGTTTGTTTAGTTTCCCACAAAGCGTCGTCCGACTCGTCACTGGACGACACCTCCTGAGAGCAGGCCGGCTACCTGGGATTTAATTACCCTCTGATTAAACCAGATAGTTGAGTTGTTTTAAAGGAAAAATCTGAAGAAAAGTTACAGAAATGCATTAGAGTGAGAATCGCAAACGCCCGTCTCAGAGAACATGATGGCTGCCGAGTCATTCAAGTCCAGAACCGCCACCAAAAACTAAAAAAACTGCAGAAAAAAGCATTGTTTTAAAGAATAATGTCACATTTATCAGTTCATTTAAAACTATTGTTACACATCAAAGAGTTAACACAAGGCTTCTGGGATGTGTGGGATTTTATCAGCTGCTTTATCAAACTGTCATTGACGCAGAAACTGTTGATATCAGGAGAAGCCTGGTTATTTATTATTTATTAACATTTATTTAACCAGATAAAACCCACTGAGATCACAGATCTCTTTTGCAAGGGAGGCCTGGGCCTGAAGACTAACTTGCATGTTATTGGTCTGTTTTTGGTTAGTTTAGGTTGAGTTATCAAAACGGGTCACATCCATTTAAAATACAGAACATTTTGTAAAAACAGCAGCCAACAGAAAAAACCTGATGAAAAAGTCAAAACAAATTTAATGATTTTTTTTTCCCAACACTCACAGAAAAATATCTGAATTATTTAAAAGGTTGCCAAGATTTGAACAAAAGGAATTTAAAGAGCCAAAAAGAAAAATCTCTATCTTCAAATTTAAGAAAGTTTGGTTTGTTAATACTGAACGTCTTTTAGATTTGCATGTCTGTAGAGATATACAAGTTTCAGTAGAGAGTGCAACTGAGAGTCATGAGATAAGAAAAAGTCTAACATTAAAACGCTGAATAAGTTGTCCAAGGAGGAACCTGTAACAAAACAGACGAGGACCGAGGATTGGCCCCTGTGGTACGCCACAACTTAGCTGAGCCTTTGAGGACCTAAAAGTTGTTCAGAAAAAAGACAAAGTTTATAATAAACCGAGCTCTTTATTCCAGTCCAGGTTTTCACAAACTTCACCCCAAAGAAAGTCGTCAGTCCGTCGGTCGGACAAACAAATGGACAAATTCATTTGTTATTCGTTTGTCGTTTACCAACTTTGAATCTAGTGACTGACAGAGGCCAGTTAAAGCTATAACAACTTTCCTGAATGAAGGATTGTAAAACCTCACTACGGGCTCACCTGTGCAGGTGTGTGCACGTATTCAAGTCAAATTATCTACTTCTGTCGCCTCACAAAAGCAAACAATCCGTGTTTCTTGTGGAAAACCTGAACATTGTTTTAAACGCCTGAATGAACTTACTGCTGTCGTCAGGAAAGCAGCGGTCCACCAAGGCCATGTAGGCCTCCTCCGTGGTCAGAACGGTGCCCCCTGTAGGCAGCAGTTTGTCACGGGGGGGAACTCCTTTAACGAACGTCTGAAGATGGAGAGGAAGAGGCGTTTTCATGTGACTGAGCTTCTCATTCTGACAGTTTCCATCGTCAGGCCTCACGTTTACCTCCAGGCTGTCGTGACACTCCAGGCAGTAGTTGGCTCTCACCACCACGTACCGCTCCTTCCACTTCCTGGAGTCGTCAAAATAAAGGACGTTCTCCTCGTACAGCACTTCTCCCTCCTCTGGAGGCCCCTGAGGAGCAGGAAGGACGTTACAGAGGAGGAAACAAAAAAGTACAAACCTTCAAATTCTTAAAGACAAAACAACCTCGGATCGACATTTTACACCCTGGCATTATTTATTTAACAAAAATAAACCAAAATGCTGAAACTAAGTCCAGCTGATCTAATGTTTAACACAATGACAGGGCGGAAAGACATCAGCAACGAGCTCAGCAAAATGTTGCTGCTCATCAATCTGGGAAGGGCCAAAGGTCAAATCTGGAGTTCATCGTTCTGCAGAGAGGAAGATTATTCATGTTCGAGACGGCTGACAAGAGGCAGCAAATTCACCCCGAAGGTCAGACTGTGCAACACTCATAGAAATGAGCTCTGCACATAGAAACAGTGATGTAACCAATAAAACTGATTCATTTTAAATATTTTAGTGTTGATGACAAACAACTGGTGACGGATGGATCCCGGTCATTCGGACTACAAGAATCAATAACAACACGTTTTATAACGAACGGTGATTAATAATTCATTATTCTGGATTTATTGATCTATTTGTTTCCCATCAGAGCTTTCAGATGGAGGAGGAAGTGCTGCTCCAATCCTGCCATTAACTTCCACTTCTCCTCGTTAAGTGCTGGCGCTCGTTATGATTGGGATCAGCAGAGGACGTGAAAGCAGCCGAAGGGATGCTTATTTAATTACCTTCTGTTTGAGCAGCTGTGTGATCTTCTCCTTGTTCGGCTCCAGCTCGTCCTCCACCTGGGAGAACCGAGCCACGGAGAACTGTTTCCTGTAGTACGGGCTGAACCTCTTCAGCTCGGCCTCGGCCTCGCCTGCACACACACAAAAACACAAAAATGTGACTGTTCAGCTGAAACAGAAGCTAAAGATCCTCATGAGGGGGTTTGGTGCTAAACACTAATGCTTAATGACCAACAGGAAGCAGGAAGTGCTGACAGGAAGTGGTGAGATCAAAAAGAATCATTTCATTAAACAACCAAAACAAAAATGATCCGATGGAGAAGGAAAACCAGAAACCAGACAAAAAATATTTTATTTCATGGAAACTGACACCCCGTTCTGGGTCGTGTGGAGCTGGTGTCTGTCTCCAGCTGTCCTCGAGGGGTGGGGGACACCTGGACAGGTCTCCGGTCCATCGCAGGGACACTTGGAGACAAACAAAGATTTTCACACAATTTAGGGTCATCAGTTAGCGGCTAACTGTTAGCCCGACACGGATGTTTAGGTCTGTGGGATAAAATCCACACATGCACAGAGACAACATGCAGGATCCACACAGACAGACCAGGGGGCGAACCTGCAACCTTCTTGCTGTGAGACTCTAACCACTGCTCCACCGCGCTGCCCGGAACACCACGTTTGATTTAGAGCATCGTTCTGTTTGTTCATTCAGACGAGCTTTTTGTCTAAAAGAGAAGTCCAACATTTAACTTCTTTAGTCCAGTCACTTCTGAAACTAAAATATTTCTGCAGGAATGACGAGAACTCCTGCCTGAAGCTCAAACCCGGTTCTTGGACTTCGAGTCCCTAAACTGTAGCTCAGACGGCTCAGCAGCTGAACTCCTCCACGACGAGCTGCGTTTGTGTACAGTGTTCAAGATGTGGGAACAGTGGTTCAGTCCAAGCTTCTGACCCGTTTAAACTCTGAACGATGGTTCTGCTGTGAAGGAGACTGTTTCATAGATCAAAAGGTCAAAGGTCAAACAAAAAATGTTAAACTTTGTAAGAAAAGACAAAATCCCGACATGTTTTCATTTTGTTTCCGTCTTTATTCCAGTCAAATTAAAAGCGTGATCAAATTAAATGAGTGGTTCTGGTGGGCTGCGTCGGACCTGGGCTCGTCCCGACCCGACAGAACCAGGAGGTTAAAGATCCTGCAGTAAACGCCTGTCGTGTCAGAAAAGGAGTGAAACGTGTTCGCACGTTTCAGATCCAGAACCAGCAAGAAGCTCCAACGACCCAAAAACCAGGATTCAGTTCTGAAATGACCAGAATCAGTTCGAAACAAACAGGAAGTAGAACTTAAAGACGGCTGAATCGACCCGATGGAGGTCCGGCCCGACACCAACTCTGGTTCTTATCTTTGTAAACTAACGAGTTTTATCCTTTTACTGATCAAAACACAAAAAGTCGTCCATTTTTACAGATCCTGGGCTCAAATATGGAGCGGTAGTAGCTGAGAGTCATCCCTAACTCGGAGTTGGAGCGCAGCTTAAAATATTTCTTACTTTCACTCTTTTTGTTGTTTTACATGTTTGTTTGTTCAGACGCAACCAAACAGATTCCACTTGATTAAAAATAAAAGTTTTAATAGAGTTTTTCATGCGTTCTGATTTTATGTCGTCTTCTTCTCGTGTTTATTGTTCACAACTTTATTTGTGCAACATTTGGGTCACGCTTGTGTTTTTAAAGGTTTCTGTTGGAGCTCAGTGGACCTGCTGGTTCCAATCAAACTGGGTCAGAGTCTGATCCAGACACGGCCTCTGACCTCTGACCTCTGACCTGCCTCTTCAGCGTGCAGCGACACGAGCAGCTTTGGTCTTAATTTAGGAGCAGAGTTCAACGGTTGCATTTCGTGTTTCTGTCGGTTCGATGATCCGGTCGTCAGCAGACGGTCGACGAGTTAAAACTTTTAATTTAGGATTTAACTCCGATGATTCCTGAATTCATTCAGACTTGTTGCCTTTAATAAAGACAGAAATAAAACTGCCCAACATCCGCAGCTGAACTTTCTGCTCGTTCTGTCAAACATTAAGAACTTGTTAAAGTCGCTCGTCTGTAAATAAAACCATCTTTGAACAAACGACTTGTTGAGGACTTGCAGGTCTCGGACTTAGTGGAGAGACTTGAGCTGTAATCGGGTTTTGTCGAGTTTTTCCTGCAGGTCTCCGGTTGTTTCCTCTGCAGGTGAAGAGTTGTGGGTCTCGTCTTCACCTCGGAAGGTTTTCAGGCATCAAAACTCGTTTTGGTGTCGAAGCAACGAGTCCGAGTCGTGGATCAGCAGGTTTAGACTGACGGGAGGAGGCGGTTCCACCTGATCCACCTGAACTGAAACCTGAGTTGCACCTGCAGTCCAACCGAACGGGACAGAATAATCTGGTTGTTTGCAAAAAATAAACGTCTTTCTGTCCAGACGAACCATCTGGGTTGTTATTTATGTGTAAACTGCAGGACGGAGGACGTTTTACTCATCTCTGCTGATCGTCAGCAGGTTGGACCGGAGCTTGTCCTCAAACTGAAGGAATGTGAAACACGAGAAACCTGCTCGTCCACCTCAAACGCCACATACAGTCAGAGCACTGAAAACTGCGACCGCCGAGACGTTCCTACCATGAGCGAGAACTAAAGGCTGTGAAATAAAGTCCCTGAACCAGAACATGGACCGTCCAACTCACCTGATGAGTCCACAAAGAAACATTTCAATAAACTTCTTCAGGAACTTCCAACAATCCAAACTCAGAGGGTTCGGTCAGGAAACTCCACACTAAACTGTTGGAGCGAAGGTTCTGCAGGTGGAGAACGTGATGATGTTCTCCACCTTCTCAACAAAACCTGAAGAGTTACAGAGATGACTGATCTGAAGCTTCATGAACGTTCTGATCCAGATGTTTGGAGCGGACAGATCATTAAAGTGTGAGGAGGAGAAGGAGGAGGTCCAAACCCTCCTGCAGAGCACGGCGCTCCTCTGAAGGGTCCAACAGGAGCACGGCTGCAGGTTCACGTCAGGATGAAGAGATTTTTTACATTTTCAATCAGCTGCTGCTGAAAGGTGAAGATGGACGACAACATTTCTCAACTAGAAGAAGATCGGAGTTCATGACTCGTGCCTGGAAGGTCTCAGCACCTCCGACCTGCTCTCAAAGCTCCTGCAGCGTGCTCTGTCCTGAGCTCAGCTCAGCCGCTCTCTTTACGTCAATCAGGGGATTTCAAAAGAGCGAAACGTTCTCCTCGAGCTCCAGAGTGAACGGGTTTGAAACCAGATGTTCAAACAGGAAGTCTGAACTTCAGGAAGGAGACCAAAGACGAGAACAAGAAGCAGCTGAGCTGCTGCATCTTCAAGACAGATTCAATCAATTAAATTCAAAAATACTTTATTAATCCCAGAGATGAAACAGATAAAACGTTCAAAACCTGCAGGAGTCCCATCAACAGACTCGTGTGTGTGAACATGTCAGCACGTGCTCTGACACACGGACCATCAGGTAAACATCACAGAAGTGGAAGTTTCCACAGCAGAGCTGATTTATTCCACGGCTCAGAGACACAGACGTCCTGACGTGGACCAGAACCTTCAGAGGATCAAATATTTATTAACGTGTAAAACGCCCGCCGCCTCTCAGGCCGGACTCTTCCAGAAAGATCTCCCGACGTTGAGGCCGTCTGAACCTCGTGACATCTGGTAGTGCCTGAAGTACGACTCTCAGCTACTACCCCACACTGAGCTGTGTGTGGCGGCCATCTTGAATCAGGCCGACTCTGAAAGAGACCCAGCTGAAGAATCAGGAGATACCTGAGGCACGAAGCAAGTCGCTGTGAGGAGAAAAATGTGGGACAAAGATGGAGGGGGGGGCAGTGTGTCATCTCCACAGACAGTTTGAACATTTCCCCTCCTGATCTCCTTCTGACCGAAACATTAAAATCTTGTTAAAAACGGCTCGTTTTCAAAGCGTGCAGAGAAGCAGCAGGCGGCTCGTGTGCTCGTGGTTTACTTTGTTTCTTTCATTTCTTGCAGAGGAAACAAAACGTTTTACTGAAAGTCCGACAGCTTCAGCTGCTCCGAGGACTGATTGATGGACAGAGGAGAGAAAACGCTTCAGACGGGCCTAAACGGTGGAACCAGTTGGTTTCCAACATCAGCTGTGAAACTTTCCTCACGACACGCTGCAAACACACGGGAGCGTCACGGACACCCCCGGGCTCCATCTGTGAGCAGCTAACCATTAAACACACGTTTTCACTGCTTCCGACAGCGAGCAAACATTTACAGCTCCTATTAACGTTCTGTGAACGCTGACTCGGCAACATTTACAGCTCCTATTAACGTTCTGTGAACGCTGACTCAGCAACATTTACAGCTCCTATTAACGTTCTGTGAACGCTGACTCAGCGTCCAGGCTCAACTCCAGCAGGAAACGTGTTTTTATGGCGTTGCAGTTCACAACCGTTTCTGCACCGTCAAGATTCACAGATTTTGTTTCTTTGGGTTTTTGTGTGGTCACGTTGGGTTCTAAAGGTTCTAAAGCAGTTTATAAAATAAACAATGTCAGAAAAGTTCAAGAGTTGAAAACATGCAGTTCAATCCTGACTTTGCTTCTAAACACATCGATGAAATTAAAAACAAGACGGAGCAAGAAAAAAAAACAACGATCCCTAAAATAATTGGAAATAAATAAGAATCTCTGAAATGATGCTCCAACACTTTGATGTTCTCGACATTTAATTTGATAAAACTTTTAAATTATTTGGTTCAGTGACACTTCCTGTGTTAGGTGAACAATATTGTAATTTGTGGTACAGTGCACGGGCCCGGCAGGATGGTTCGGTACGATCCACTCTGGTCCACCGGGGCTCTGCTGAGACCTGCACGGTCCATCTGCAGCTCGGTTTGTTCCACCAGAACTCCACGCTCCTCCTTCCCGCCATGGGCTCGGGCTCGGGCCTGTCATGGCGGCCGTCTCCATGATCCTCACTCTGCCTGCGCGGACCGAACTCCAAGAACAGTTCGGTTCCGCTGGGAACTTTGAATGTTCTGTGTCTGCTGGATCCAGTTCTGGAGGGCGGTCATCGTCCACCGCCACGGTCATTATTCTCATCATGCTGCTAACGGGACCACACAGTGTAACACTACTTTTTAATTTTAATTGTTTTTTAGTTATTTACTGTCGTGTGTCTAAAACAGGTTTCTCTTGACAATGAGTCCTCGTGACTCAGTGACACTAACGTGGATAAATAAAAGTTAAATAATAAAAAGTCAGGATGGCCGCCACATCTAATCAACCGTACGTAAATGGCTGAAGCTCAGCTAACTGTGCACGTGTGGCGCTCAAACTTGGCGTGGTAGTAGCCGAGGCTGGTTCGCGTCACGTCCTCTGAGCACCAAGAGATGTTTGTCTAAAAGGTTTCTCTCGCTCAGAACAACAGCCGGGCTCCAGCTGCAGCTTCCTCTCTTTGTTGGCAGCGAGGCGCTGCATGTCTGAGAGGAGGCGTCATCCTGCAGCTGGAGGCCACAGCTGGAGGTGGAGAGCTGCAGCTCACATGAAGATCTCATCGACCCGCCCGGAGACGAGCCAGTCGCTTTGAAAAGCCGGACGTTGCTTTTCTGCAGGAATCAAACCGACAACCTCCTCCAGAAACCCTGCTTTCCGTTTGCCTCGTTCTGCAGCCGATCTGTGAAGTTTGCATGTTTGGGTGCTGAATAATTCTGACAGCTCAGGCAGTTCGTTCTTTAAATAAATACATCAATCATAATCTAATCTGGGACTTTGGTAATAATCTAATCTGACACATGACCAGCCTGTGATGGATGAACTGTGGAGGACGTGTGTTCAGTCTAAACCACATTTAACTGAAATGAACCTTCAGGTGCGACTCTTCTTTCCCGCCAGTCTCGGCTCGGTCTACTCTCTGGAGAAGGCAGATGAATCCTGCGATGAGTGACGTCATGAAGACGTTTGCTTCACGGCAGCTCCGGGGGAGTTGAGTCCTCCAGACTAACATCTAATGTGAACGCTGAGGAACCGTGTCATTGTTCGGTCCTGATGAGATCATCTGGAAACAGCTGCTTCGCTCCAAAATACGAGGAGTTTTCACTGAAGTCAAGAGGTGGACGACTCAAACATGAAACGATTCTCATCAGAAGAGCTTCCATCAGGAGACGAAGATAATCTCACAGATTAGAAAACTCCTGCACAGATTAGACTTTAGAAAAGTCTGGATAAATTAGAACCAGCCATGAAAAATTCACCTGCAGCTCCTTGAGCCAAACGGAGAAAATACCTGAGGTGCACGTCGTGCACGTGTTCCGGATGTGGAGAACTTTGGTTCCACCGGAGAACCAAGTGAACGTTTCCACCACAAGAACCGACATTTTCTTTTTTAAATCAAACCTCCAGAGAGACACGATGTCATCAAAGTCAAGGTTTCTGATTGGACAGAAGACAGTGGGACACGTCTGCTGATTGGACAGAAGAC